AATTAATCAGCAGAAATACAGATTTTTATCGATGAAAAAAATTCATATTTCCATAAATTCGAAGAAAATGTTCTAATATAACGCGAATTTACGATGTTCAATGTTTCAGCAAATATTTCAATCGTGAAGAACATGTATATATGTTATCTCATAACATAACGATCATATAAACATATTCGATAAATTATTTTCATAAAGACTGACAAAATTGTATTTCTCATTTGTTATCAACATGAATATCAGAAAACTGATTATTCAATTGATTTCCAAATGATGGTTGAATTTATGATTTGATATTCATAATTTAAGATCATCAGTAATATATTGCAATAACTAGCCACATAAAAATTTTCCCTGATATGTTTTAAACACATATTTTTTATGAATATTTCAATAATCATCTCAGGGGTAACAAAATATCATTATTGATATTTCACATCTGCCGTGACCGCTCACAAATTTCATTTTGATCCTCAGTTTGATATTAAATTAATTCCAATATGAGAAAGCATGATTTATAAATTTATTTATACAATTCAGTTCTCAAATTGGCACCAAAAAATATTGAATATTTTTGTAGTGGTAACTTCTTATGAGAGGGTAAACCGCTTCGCTACCTAACGCGTAATGTCACGTCTGGCTTCCCTTTCTCTCACGCATACGTCAGCGAAAGGCAGGTTCCTCCTCTCTCGTCGGACAGAAGCTCAGTGTTCAGTGTGCGTTAGACATATACTGTTCACAGTATTATAAAAATCTAACCAGCAAACACGTAATATTCTTTTATTATGAGAAACGTGACTCAAAAATGATGATACTCATGTACATTATGAGTATCATTATTCAATCCTATAAAAGGAACAATTGGCTTATGGTAGGTATAATATATATACATACACAATATAATCAATAAAATATTTCATTGATAAATAACCTTTCCTTACATTATCATATTAATATACATAAAAGTGAATAGTTCAACTCAGATTAGTTTTAATTTTCACTTCTGTCGGGCTCACCGAGACGCACACGTTTTTTTTTTTGATAGAATGTGTCAAGTTTTGAAAAGTCTGTTCAAAATATCCAACGAAAATTGTGGTTACTTCTGAAATGTGAAGTAATAATGTTGATTTTGGATCTTACCTACAGTTAACCTCAAACTCCGAAACGAGTTGCACCAATTCGAAGTCCAGGGGTGTATCTCGGGGCATGTACCCAAGACAACTGTTTCCGTAACCCCAGCAGTTCCGAAACTAATTAATTCTAGACCTAAATATTCATACGGCGAGTTGCAGTGTATTAATGTTTCGAATTAGGAAGGCCGTCAGTCGAAAACACGTGTAGAGTTCACAATGATTCGATTCAAAGTTGGTAGCTTCGTACTCGTTGGCCCAAGTGGGCCTAGAAACTCCCTAGACACCATCTCTGCTACACGTCAAAGTTGAAAGGAAAGTTTGGGAGAGAGGAAATGGAATTTGGAACGAAACCAGCAGCTTTGTGGAGTTGAGCTATGCTTGGATAATAACTTCGTTTAACTTTCATAGTTGTTATCAGTGGAGAGTCTAACCGACTTGGAGTAGGAAAAGAAAATCTTTTGTGAACTGGAGGATGAGGTGTGAAAATACTGAAAACTAACGATTTTCAAAGATATCATCTTTGGAACACAAAAATATCAAAGTTGATGGTTTAAGACAGTTTGAGGGCAAAACGGTTGAAATTTTAAACAGTATCAACAGCTTTGTGTGATTGTGAAGTTATGTTCAGATGATAACTTCGTAAAACTTCCATGATTGTTACCAATTCACAGTGTAACTGATTCAGTGAAAGAGGTGTGGAACTTTGATGATTTGATCATAATAATATCCTTTGAGAGTCATAGTTGCCACCAGATCATAGTCGATTCGTGAGAGGGATATCTTTTGAATTTGTAGATGAAGGTTGAGGAAATTGATGAAAAACCCATTATTTGTATAGGGCTTCAGATAGTTGTTATGATCTAACTCGATGAATGGAAGTCAGATAGTCAATTTGGAAATTCGGAAAATATCAACTGTACCGCAAGAGGCGTAACTGCATTGAAAACTTATTTATACAGAAGTCTTCAAAAGTCAACACAAGTCTCAGTCTGATCTGAACTACTATCAGAACAAAAGCTAGCTAAACTCAAAAAAAGTTGCACCATAATTTGTCCTAGAAGAAAAAATCGTTTCTGTTTGGTTATTTGTTTATTGTATATTCCAATGTTCATATGAAAGTAGTTATTTCGACAGTATTTTTTCTGTCGTGTAGTACAATGATAGAAAGAAAGAAGAAAGAAAGAAAGAAATTTATTCATTCATAGACCAACTACATGGTATCGAACATGTCATTTAATACTTGATAAAATGATCCAGAGTGTACATGATAAAAAAAAACAAAAGTTAATATATAATTAGGACTGTTAATGCAGATTTGATAATAAGTGTGTGAAGAAACAAACGAACATGTACATTTACATTAAATACACATAAACATACACGTAGGTCCCTAAAATATAAATATACCGGGTGTCCCAGAGCTTTTAGGCCAGCAGATATCTCAGTTATCTGCAGAACAAAAATTAAAACAATAATGTGTATCATAGGAGAACACAAGCACTTTCATGCAGCATAGCAAAATCCACCCCCTGGTAAACAACCCCCAAGAAACCACCCCTAACTTTTGTTTTTCAAATGGCACGTTTGAACGACAAACAACATGGGGTTGCCATTTGAAAAACAAAAGTTAGGGGTGGTTTCGCAGGGGTTGCTCGCGAGGGTGCTGGTGGTCTTCTATGATATACATATTTTTTTTCAATTTTTTTCTGCAGGTGACTGAGATATCTGCTGGCCTAAAAGCTCTGGGACACCCGGTATATACACACATATGTATAAATGAAAATGTAAAAATGTTGAAACATATACAAGCAACATTCATATGTATATGTTAATGCAGCAAATTGTCAAAATCTGTTTACTCTTGAAAATATCCCTGCAAGAATCAAGTGGCTTCATGTTGAATATCAATCTAACAATCCGTTTTTGTGTAGGGTTCGGTTAGGTCCAAAGTGAGTGGGTCTATTCAACCCCCCACCGCAACTCGCAAGGGTTTATTATGGCTCACACCTATTCACACTCGACCAAATAAACCCAGTTTCTTAACGAATCCGATTAGTTTGTATGGTAAGTGGTCAGATGATTTTCAGAGTACGGCTTTGCCGAACTCTGAAAACCTCATTCGGTCCCCAGCGTGACAGGCACAAAGTATGTGCTCTGCTGTTTCATCATTTTCCAAACAGAGGCGATACACACTGTCTTCCGACACTATGAGTCTCTGCATATGCTGAATCAAATGACAGTGACCTGTAAGAAGGCCTGTTAGACATCGTAGTTCATCCCTACTGTAGTCCAACAACTGTTTGGTATCAAGCTTCGTACAGTGAATAAACGCCTTGGAGTGAGCCAATCCTGAAAGATTCTGCCAGAAGTCCATACATTTTCTTGCCATTCAGGTGTTCAGTGTTTGCCAAAGCCTAAAGCGATGTCAATGACAAGTTCTGGTCCGATGAAGCTGCTTGCAGCACCCTCCTTTGCAAGGGCAACAAATATCATATTTATTTCGGTAACATTTCATCATAGCATGTTTATTTGAAAGTAGTTGTTTCGAAAGGTTTTTTCCAGTTTGTGCCTGAAAGTTACTTGTTTGCATGATCCACACATCTTTGTACGAGTTCATTTTGAAATCAATTACCTATGGAAGATTCCTACATTTTTTTATAAAGATGCAGAAATAGAAAGCAAAAACTTTCCTTGTAATGCAATGTTTGGAACATTTGGTGTAGTGATGAATATTACTGGAGATTTATTCCAACACCAAATCGTTATTTTCAACACTCCAACATGTGTTTAATCTTCCTCTTGAAGGTGATCACTTGGTGAATGAAACACGTGTCAATGTGTTAAAAATAACGGTCTGGTGTTGGGTTAGAACTATAGTAATATTCTTGATTGGCGGGTTGGCTGTCCTTCTTCATCTTTCACTAACTGAACCACTGTGCATGCTGTTTTTGGCGAGTACATTGGCTTGAGATGAGGGGGTTGAGCAAACCGGCCATTGGATGCCTACTTCCACGTAGCCCCGCTGGATACAGGAAGGACAGAATCACTTATGTTTCTGATATTTCCCAACTGAATGGCATCCCAACGATGCATGGCTTAAACCCAAGGTGTGTGTATCCGTGCCGCGAGGATTAATGACACTGAGCCTATCAGCTGTCTCTACGGAACCTTCGAGATACCGGGCGCCGTCTTGTCGTAGCATCGCCTTGTCACGGTAATGTCGGGCTCTGTCGTGATTGACCGTCTTTCCCTAACTAATCGTGGGACTTTTATGGACAGAGTAAACATTAAAATTCTTTCTGACGCTGAGTCTACAGAGAAGAGCTGCTCAACTCTTCAACTCCTCTTTCAATAACTGAACCTAAGAAAAGGTTTGATGGTGCAGCCAGGAAACGACTTAGTCATCTCCTCAACAGCGGGGTACCTTATGATACCGCCTTGCACCAAATTCTTGAGCGGCGTACGCAGAATCTGTCTCAGCTGGAGGAACAAACCCCCCCATGAGCAGGTTAGCAAACGTTTCCGCTTAACTGAAGATTCACCAAAACCAGAGGCAAAAAAGCCCTGCACGGTTGAATCTAAGGCATCGTCAGGTGTAGCTGACGTGCAAAAACCCTCATATGGGAAGGTTGTCGCGGGTATCAAGATAGGAATATTGCACCTTGACTATTCGACTACCTCATTAGCGATGAAATAGGGTCTGGAGGGTCAAATGGACCCACTCGCTTTGGACCTAACCTAACCTAACCTAATATTTATGATTTTGTTGATTTGGCTACAGAGAAGGATGAAAGATGAATGGATATTGATGGATTATATTGGAGAAACGTTCGAAAGGTGAAATTTTGCTGTTTCTTTTTCACTTACCTTTTCGGAGAGACAGCGCCGCCAGTGCGGGTGAGCTCAGCCCACGTGGCTGCCTTTTTTCAGCATTTCACTGTTTCCCTGTCAGCCTCCCGGTGGTCCTCCCGCATCTCATCGGCATCGTGGAGCGCCATAAAACCTGGAACACGGCCAACGTTCAGTTATTGCGGCAATAAAGAGCCTCACGAAACATATTCTAGTTATCTGATGAATCTGAATCTCTGTACAGGGTGTGTATCAGTTAATTATTCTCTGAACTGATAAAAGACAAGTCAAATTTTTGATGGACTTGATCGATAACTAATGAAAATCTTTGATGTACTCAATAAACATTCTGTAATGTTCGGGAATGGTCACTATCATATTCAACTTTCCAAAAATGTTTGAAACGACCTGAAAACGAGACAACGGAAAAGTTAAAGTCTGAGATTTATGAAGAAAGGTGTGAGAATTCCAATAATGAATTAAATAAGCGGACTGTAATAGCCCGTTACAAAAACGTGCTCCTCCCATTTGGTTTCATAGGTCAGAGAAGCCCTGTGTTGATCAACGTGCCGTAGAGAATGGCTACGGAATGAGTGAGAATTTTGTTGGTATCCGTACATGGCAACAAGCTTTTAGATGCCTTCAAAAGTTTATAAATCAAAAAATGTGGAAGGAGACCTATAAACCGTGATAAAAGTCCCATTCACAGAAGCTCATAGAATTGGCATAGCATCCACGTACTTATGACTTTTGATATATTTTTGTCTATTGGGTAATCCAAACTTGAAAATTAAAAACGGAAGAGATCAATGGATACTATCCTGGTGTAGCAATAAGCGTGTTGGAGAATGCTGCATTATTCAGGTTCACTTTCTGCAAGCGTTAATGGAGATACACATGTGGAGCTAGTTAGGCTTGACCATCAGTAGTTCCAATACCTTATCTGAATCCAATACCTACTTTGCTTCAGTGAAACTGTTACAGCACACTCAGATTCATTATTGATTGTTACAATGTAATCTATCCCATCCCAAAAAGCAGGCTTCGTGCTATGTTTCTGTCTGAAACCTAACCGGTACGATGGTAAGATTTGTACGAAGGTAATATTTGCTGGGTGTTTGAATAATGGATCAATTGTCATGGAATAACTTTTTTGAACAAATCAGTAGATGCCGTTGTGATTCGTACTATAGGTATAAGTAAACCAAATCAAACCAAAATAAAACAGCAACAGTGTCGATTCCGACAAAAAAACTAGAGTTGTCAAAAACAGTAGCATGCTACTGTTTTTGTCAAAAACGGAATGTCCCGTCGGGAGGCGGAAAGATGAAAAAGTTTCGGTGTTTTGTCTGTGTTTTTGTGAGCAGGATTCGCCATGTGGAAAAGGTCAGCAACGACAACAGGCAACTATTCAGATCATATCTGTAATTTTTAATCTTGATTGGACATTCTTAGAGACTTACGAAAGGATGCTCTCAGTTCCATTCATTTCTATGTCATCATTTATCGAATCCGCCATGACTTCATTCGTTCCATAATCCACTCGCCTTCTCAACAATGATCTCATCTGATATCTTGATTTTATCATTTTCGCTTCTTTCGCTCAAAAGATTCGATTTTAAAAAATCGCAGCCCATCAGGAAAACATAGTCTATAGTAGGCATGATGGAAACTGTTTTCATACTGGAAACGATAAAAAATATGTCATAACAAAACATCACTTTTTGTCTGTTTGGTGAAATTTGAGTTCCGCGTTTGTTTTCGAAACTAAAACAACTTTTTTGTTTCTGATTTTGAACGAAACTGGTCGCAGGCAATTCCGTTTGGTGGTAAGTCTTCGTATATTCGAATGTACTCATGAAAACCTTGTCAATTTTTGCTTACAAGGTCGAGTCATTTTTTTGAGTATTGTGCGTTTGCCAACTCACTCAAATATTTCGTTGTGGTTTAGTGATTAGGGAATCTTTCAAACCTACTTCAGCCAAACACAAGAACATTCTCAGGAAAACAGAACGTTCTTGACTCATTCCACACTATAGTAAACCTCCACATTTTCATGGTTCAACAAAAAAACCCGATTTGTAGGCGATTTGTAGGCAAAATTTGTGAATACGTCAAGTTACTGACTAATTGGACTTTCCAGTAATTTATATCACACAGTAACTTCAACAGATTCTCTATTGATTTATCTTTTATTTTTTCAGATTGTGGAAGGTTATAAACCCAAAAAACTATAAAATATTCAGCCCTCCACAAAAAAGTGGTTTGAAGAATACTTACTTTGGTTTTAGCGAATAAACTTCATTATTGAAAAATTATTGATATTATTAGGTGTTCGAGTTACATATATCACTTTAGAGCGAAGAAAATCAGTGTTTTGTATTCATGAAAATGATAACCACTCTTAGAAACTCAAACAGTATAAGAAACTCAGGATGACGATCACAAAAAACAAAATACTGTTTATTTATTCAAGGAAAATTTACTTTCCTGACTGAGATGTCTGTTTCGAACTTAAAATAATTCGTGCGTTTCATTTGGAAAGTTCAAACCTGTCAACTTTTTGTGATGTATAGTATTCAGCTATTGCTCGGTTCGAAAAATTAAATTTGACCCTTTTCTAGCTACTGACAAAATGTTCCAGGCTTTCGCGGGCGAGGTTCTATAGTAGCTGTAGAGTAAGGAGGGTGAGTGTAGGCCCACATTACTCAGTCCACATATGACCCGTTGTACACCCTCCCAAGGAGTTGTCTTCCTAGGTCATCGTCCATCGTGTCCTTTCCAGGAAGGTGGACAGGTCTCTGGGAGACATCTTTTTTATATCGGCAGGTCCAGGCCAAGACTCGCAGAACACACATTCTCTTATTCACGATAACTCTGGACACTCGCATAAGACATGCCTGACAGTTTCATCTTCCTGTTCACACATCCTGCAGAGAGGTGTGTCCAATAGCCCCATAATATGGAGGTGTTGAAGGTGGCTACTCTTAAGCGTAGGTTTTTCCTGGCCATCGCCATATATTTATTCGGAGTCAGTTTTCCAGAGTCGCCCAGGGTGAGCCTGGCAAGACTACATCTTTTGATTCCATTCCATCTCTTTAGAAATTGAACATGCGTGTGATGTTCGGCTAGTTCTGCAATTGTCGAAGTCATCAGGGCGTAAGTGTCACTGGGTCCTGAATTTCTTAGTCCAGCCACTTCCTTAAAGATGTTATCCAAAAGTTGAAAACTACTCCATCATTTTTTTTGCTTTACACCACTTCTGACTGAAGGTTCACTTTGCTGTTGAAGCAGTCAACTTATCTGATTCACCCTCATCGGTAGAGGCGATAATCAATTCAAGTTGACGATGTTATACTGAAATTTTGCATTATATAAACCGAAAGGGCCGATAAAATACAAAGAATTACTTCGCCTTTATGGAATCTTGAACGATCAACCCCGATCGATAGAAATAACTGGAAAAGCACCACGGTCACGAAGAGCCACGTTGCGACAACAAAGCTTTCTTGAAAGATAAGAGAAGGAGTTTTCGTGTCTAAGAGCACTTAACTTTCCATTTTTGTTTTCATTATATTTCTTTTAAGTTTCATTGGAGGTTCAGCGTCAACATTCATGATTGATGGTGTGCATATTTTCTTTAATGTGGTCTTTAGAATCTGCTGTGGTAAAGAGTTGTATCTAATTAGCATTATGATATAACTAATCGATATTTGACGGAAATCAATTATAACGTATTCAGAAACACACTTTGAGATGAATAGCAGGATTGTGTAGTATGATTCACAGACTATTCAATATTTCACTTCTAGAAAGCAGTTTCCAAAGAAAACTGATTCCCATAGAACATATTGCTGTCAACAACGGTTACAAGGTGGATATTGTTGACTCAATTCTCTCCAAGAAAATCTCCGAAATAACTCTGAAACAGGTCTATGCAGTTTCAAAAAATGATACTAAACATTTTGTAACTCCAACTTACTTTCGAAAATACAAAGAATTGGAAGTAGCCTACAGAACAAATGATAATTTGAGTGATTTCATCAAAAACAGTGAAGATAATTCTAGTGTCGGATACATCAGGAGTATACAAGTTGACTTGAGGTTCTTGTCCAAAATTCTATATCGGACAAACCGAAAGAACCTTTCACAAAAGAACAAAAGGCCATAGAAGTAGCATTTTACGTTTGTTTGGAGGTGACTGACAAAATGTTTCATGGTGTTTCAGGAATACTGAACTAGACGCCTTCCTGAAACACATCAACACTTTCACTTCCATAATGGAGAAGGAAATCCACAACGAATTTCCATTCTTAGACGTATTGGTGAAGGGGACTGACACTAAGTGGGAAACATCTGTATACCGAAACATCTGTATACCGACAGTATCTGAACCACGAATCCAACCACCATCAGTTGACTAAAGGAGAAATCATTAAGACTCTATAAGACCGTGCTTTCGGGATCTGTAACACGAAGGAAGGTCTCGAGAAGGAACTAGACATCATCAAAAATGATCTTCAACGGAATGGCTACTCCAAAACGATGGTAGAACAGACTTTGGCTAAAAGACAGCACGAGCCTCGCAAAGAAGAGAATCCGTCACAACCAGTGCTTGCACTTTCCTACATCAGAGGATTATTGGAAAGGATAAGAAGAATTGGTTCCACGTACAACATCAGAACCTGCTTCAGATCCGGAAACACTATCCGTAGCAGCCTCACGAAAACCAGGCCACCAAACGCGGACTGCGATTCCAAGAATTGCATTTATCGGATACCCTGTGAGTGTGGAAAATCCTATATTGGTGAAACTAGGAGGCCATGGAATAATCGCATTTCCGAGCACAAGAAACACACACCCACCAATTCAAAGAATCCCCATACATGTTGTCCAACAACGTATTCAGCCAAGCTAGCATATGGAAACCCATTATCAAGTGAAAAATGGCCAACTTCCGCCAAACGGTCATCTCCCACTGAACCAGTGAAGCGGAAAAAGGAAAGCGGGGAAAGTGAAAGTACTCGAACGACCCATAAATAGTCATCTCTGATAGAAATCAGTCCAGTCATCACCCGGAGATGATTGTGGATACCAAGAATCGAAACGTCGTCAAGCAACATGGCTTGGAATCTCTCAACTATTCATTTTTTA